TTTAATCGCGTGTGCCCTTGAACACGTCGCTCCTTAGCGAAATTATTTATGATAAGTGGTATTTGGCTTGTAAAGTGAATGCGCGCTGCTGAAGACGCTGTCTGAAGGTGTGTTTGTAGGTGTGTGTAAGAGCAGATTTCAATTTATTACATTCATTTAGGGCTTAAGTGGTTACCTGATCTGCCAAAACATAAAAAATAAAAAAAGACAGATCCTTCCTCTACCTAAGATGGTTGCCTTGAAAGAAAAACCTGAAAAACATTCATTAACCTTTTGTGTCCTATATGAGATGATTAAACATCTTGGTGAAATTAATTTATTCACGTTTGTCTGCTTTGTAGGTGCAAACACATTTAAAGTTCAATTAGTTTTAAATTTAAAAGGGTTTTATGGTTTGCAGAGCAAAACCAGAGTAAAAGAAACAAAAATGAAACAAATGGATACCAAAATATGTCATAATAGAGACACAGAACTCAAGAATTAATGCACAACACATTGGCCATCCAAGAAGAAGATTACAATGCCAAAAGTCTTCAGCATAAAAGTGAGCTCAAGTTATATGCCAGCTGATCTAGTGATGAAGAAGACTTCAGTCGAAAGTTTGTGGCTTGAAGACCTAAGACACCAGTACCTCACCCAGGGATTTAAAAGCCCTCTGGGGCGGGATTAAAATGTCTGTAATTCTCCACAGCAAAAAGAGACAGCTGTGATGAAACATGACTTAAAAAAGAAAAAACGCTAGATGGATCAAACTTGTACTCCGGTTCTTATCAGTATTCTGACTTTGAACGTGAATGTGTGGAACAAATGTGTCTCTAAAACACTTCATGCCTAAAAACTGTGACTTAGTTGTTATATGTTATTTGCACTTAATTGAAGCAGCACACAATCAGTTTAAGTTTTCCTTGTAACAATAATGCTAGTCTCCAAATCGGAAGACGACATTTGTCAAACTCACCTTAGAAATCTAGTTGATTTTACTGATGACACGTTATGTAGTCCTAAAAGATTAACTCCTTCTAATGATACACATAGAGTGGATGGAGAAGGTCGCAATATTGATTAAATACATCAGACAGCGTTCAATTAGCTCACACACAAAGGAAAAAAAAAGGTTTGGTGGGCTAATTATCAAAAGAAAAGCAATAAGAAAGGGAATATCTGGGATAACTATAATTGAATTACAACGAGGAAGTTCTGTAATGCTGGTTTTACGCTGACAGGGGTGCAAACTAGCAAAACCCAGGATTAACCACAACATTTTCTCTCCCTAGAAATGGTGGAGTTTGATGGTCGCGCTGCTGACTTGCGTCTCAAGGTCATTTGTTTTGGCTGCGGCATGAGCCGACGGGCAGCCTGCGCCCCGTCCCTCGGCCTTGTGTCGTTTCTTCCCCTAAAGCAAAGATTCTGTTAAAGGGCTTGTTTCATAATCCTGTCGCCAAAAATTCCCAAAGAGTGGCTACACATCTGTTCGGCGTCATTCGATCAACAACACAATCTGGTTTTTGTAATTCCACCCTGACGAAGCCTGTAGTGCCTGTAGTGGGCCCGGTGGTACATAATCACTCCATATGTCGTAGTCGCCCCAGTGCAGTGGCACGAAAGGGTCCTAACTCGGTCAGAAAAGAAACTCTGACACCCTGCAAATGTCTATTTGTGATTTTATATTACGACTCTTATGATTTGCAAGCAACCCGTCACCAGAAGATAGTCGTGGTTCTACTTGTTTTCTCTCTCAAAGCCTCGGGAATGTACCTGTTCCTGTACATACATAAATATCCGCAAAACTGTAATTCAGCAAGAAGATGCATTATATTTTTGTTGTTGAAAGAGTTATTGTTATATGACATGCCTAAAGCTTGAGAGAGAAAGAAAAGCAAAGCAGTAAACAAAAGAAAGAATGCTTCACTGAAGTGTTAAGTGTACATAATGTGCATGCTTAGGTGAGCAGCTAAGATGCCTATGGTGACTGTCCAACCAAAACATTCATTGGTGCTACCACCTGTTGATGCTTTGGGGTTAGATGTGCAAACAGGAGCACACATTTCAGCCTGAACTCGTCCATATTATGATCCTGGCAGAAGAGGACTTTGTCTGAGTCAAAATGTCTAGAGGAAAATAAATGGCACTCCTTGATTGGCTACTTTGCGAATCCCAGCCAATCGACAGTCGAGTAGAATTGTCCCAAAGTTCTTCGACTTCCTAATCTGCGTTTCCTTTCGATTGTATTCGATTCAGTAAATTATTCACTTATTTTCCGACAAATAAGACCCTGAAACATTTATGGAGAGTTGGTAGCACTAAAGAAGTGGCATGGCATGATTCCTCTCAGTTGATCTAATGATTCTTATTTAATAAACTGTCTGATTTGGCAACTGCCTGCAAGACGTCTTTATTTATGTCCTCTGGAGCTCAGTCCTGCTAGCTCGTTTTGCCACGTTTGCCAAATTGCACGCTGCTTTTGTTTGGGGAAAACTTGTCCTGCGTGATTGGAAACATCGACACACTTCACTGAACTTGAATTACATTCAGATAAAAAATTGCCAGGAAGTGAATAAATAATAATTACCCTGTTTGTAGCACCTGTTCCACTGCCACCCCGAGGGCTACAAAGACAAGTGGATTACTAACCACTTGTTTGGAGACAGTCTCTTGGATTTAAGACAACATTTTCACCATTTTCAAGGCATGCAAAGGTAGACTTTGTTAGGGAAAGAGTAAAATGCCACCCAGGATTCCCCTCAGTGGAAAATTAACTGAACGACACAAGCCGAGTCCATGTTTACCAAAACCTTCAACTATCTTGGATGACTTTCTCCTTTCGTCCTTCTGTCACTTCTTTATGCTCCAACAGAGCCTCTGCATCGTTAAAGTGGTTAGCACTCGTGTCAGTGTCTCCATCTCCTCTATATTTCTCACACACACACACACACACACATTTTGGCAGATATAAAATAAACAGCTGTGGTTGTCTGCTGGGTTGTAAAACGAGCTTGTCTCATGTGTCACTTCCTTTCAGCCCTCTGTTCTCCCTGCCTTACTCTTTCTAATAATGGGTTTATTTTTCTCATCTCTCCCCCTTTGTGCCTATTAGTCCCTCAGCGACCCTTGTCCCATTTTAGAGTAAAAATAATAAAAATAGGAGCGCATTCGCTATGTCAATTCAAACCTGTATTTACACAATAATGACCAAAAGATACCCAAAGGGTGTACTTTTTTTTATTTCTTGTTTAAAATAAATATTAATTCTGGTTTGTATTTATAAGAAATACACTTTAGTGATATCCAGATGTAGTACTTATTTTTACAAAATAAAGTACATTTTTTAGCCCCTCTGCTGGAATACATCTAAATAAAATCCACTGCAAAAGTCACACCAAGTTATTCAAAGAAGAAGCCAAGAGGTAGGAGAATCTGTCAACAAATATTTGTTGGACACTCCCTTTACGAAGAGCAGGAATGACAAAGATGGGAATACGAGTTGCACTAATAACATGGCAGTGCAGGAAGAAAACTAGTTGGAGACTGAAAACGTGCAGAATGCAAACGAGTCGTTTGGTTGAAGGTTTTTATCTTCCAGCAGGACAACAACACTCAACACAGCCAGGGCTACAAAAAAAGGATTAGATTGAAGCACATTCCTTTGCTAGGAAGGTCCAGTTAAAGTTCAGAACTAAATCCAACTATTCAGCAGAGAGACTTGAAGATTGATGTTCATCCAACCTGCATGAACTTGAGACATTTTTCAAAGAATTTACTGAAGTTTCAGTCTGTAGACGTGCTGGAGCTGCCACAACCCAAAGGACTGCCAGACATGGCTGCAGCAAAACTGGCATGGAAATATACTTTTTATCATTTTACTTATGGACAACTTTGAGTTGATCCAACACATAAAATCCAAATACATTAGAGTTTGTAGCTGCAATGTGACGTTTTGATGTTGAGTCACCATCAACATCAAAACGTCTGTCTCCGTCCAGCTGGCTTGGTCAGCTGACCGGTCACGCCCAGTCACACGTAGCGTGCCTTACTTTTCCTCTCTGTTTTCCGTTTTCCTCTTTCGGGCTTTTGTCTCGCTCTCACACAAACAAACACTCTCCCTCCAGCTCTCTGCACTAGCCACTGGCTGCTTTCCAGTCAGATCAGCTCGATATTCCACCCTTCCTAAAAACCACCCTCACTTTGCTCATTGCTCTCTGGAGCCCACGCGTTGCCACAGTCATAGTTGTGTCACAGCAATCAATCAGCCGTCAATGTGAAACTGCAGCACCAGTACAGACGAGCCGCAGCGAGCCGTGTGCCGCAATTCCCGAAGCGCCTCCCCTCGCCATTAGTTCACTTCTGTGCTGAAATCATCGTTTTGCCGAACTGAACTGAATGTCTCCCGGTTGGCAGAAATTTACCAGCCTCAGCCTTAAAAATTTGTGTTTGACGGTGTCATATTAAAGTTCTAACAATCAGTACTCGTGTCACACTTTTTAATTTCGGTAGAGCACATATGCTTTTGGCGTTTTGACACCTAATAAAAGAAATTCACAGCATGAAATGACATTGGCTTCTGAGCCATTTATCATTATTTCCTCAGTCGCACCACTGCTTTGAAATAACTCACTCATCAGGTATGAATTGAATCTTGCCGTTGGTGTTTGTTTGGATTTTGGATTCATATGTGATTAAGGGTGTATTCACACCAGCACTGTCCGCTTGAATCAGACTCTTAATTCGTTTGTCAAGAAAGTCCGATTGATTTGGGCAGTGTGAATGCAAATTTTAATTCCAAAACATACTAAAAATCTCTGATCCGCCTAAAAACCTCTGTCTTGGTCCGGCTGAAGTGAACTCTGAAACTCTGAAAACTAGTATTTTTGCCAATGATGTTCTAAAGAAACTGAACCAGAGGACTCTCATCAATTGCCTTTGCAATATCTTGCTGCTTGAACATACATCTGCTGAATATTATTCCTAAATTCAATCATCCACCCTTCGTTTTCCGGTCTTACCTTGAGTTCGTCATGTCCGTTTGACCTCCCTGACTCTTCTCCAGTCCGAGTTTTGTGAAAATCCCCACCAGCACCATGATGGCCACCACCCCACAGATAATGTAAACGATCATGTGGGTCCGATCCCGATCGGGTTCCTGGTGGACCTCTGTGACGGGCACCCCCGGTTTCCCGGTGTTTGCCCACACGGGTGTGTCGTAGTTGGAACAGGAGGTCTGGTCCAGACTGTGGACTCTGAACTGGCAGCAGAACCGGTAGAAGCAGGAGCCGCAACAGAACAGGTAGATGCCTGCGTTGCAGTTAAATGGCGGGTCCCACTGGCCCATGACGTCGTAGTACCCCCAGCAGCGGTTTCCGCTGATTGAGTCCGTCTGTATCTCTGGGTCCGGCGTCGGTGTTGCCAGCGCCGCCTCTGGTAACACAGATGAATCTGTGCTCTGGTTGTTGGAAGAGACCTGCGCTGAAACTTGTCCCGACGGACATGAGCTCAGTCCACTCAGGGTGGTCAGGCCCAGTAACATGGCCAGTGAAAAGTTCAACATGAGCAAACACATTGGAGCGGCCATGATGGACTCACTCCAAAGTCCTGCAGCGTCTCAGTTCGGACGGGTGACCGGTAACAGAAGACCAAAAAGCTCCTGCATTCAAACAAACAACAAAAGACAATTAAATATCTCTGTTTAAAGAGAAGACAGATCAGTATGTTGACAATCAATGAGACTTGCATTGTGCATAATCAGAACGAGAAAATTATTACACCGATTTAAGTCAGTCTTAAAGCTCTTTACACCGCTTTGTATGACATTTATTAACTAAAACGAGTGATGGGATAGTGACTGGATAAAAATAACCCAATGCATTTGATCTTCTTCCAACCAACCTGTGAGTGCGCCAGATCTAAACCCTGCCAGGTTGTGCTAGGCTCAACACTCTTTGGTGTGGAAGTCGGTGTCAAGGAAAGAAAATTCAACCATCTTCCACAAAACATGTAACCTCTTGTAAACTGTTGTTGCAAAATTGTTTCAAGTCAATTGAGGTCTGATATGCAGTAGTAATGCCAATACTGGTGCATATTCTAAGCATATAATGTTTACATTAGAAGTACTTTGCTAGCAGCTAGCAGTCTGAGTTATGCCCAACTATGACTCTTTGCTCAAAGTTGCTCATTAAATACCTATTTACATAACTATTGAAGGTGCTACGTATGTAGTTTGGTGTAATCTTTGCAGCACAAACATTTATCTCCATTTGTATTCTTAAAGAACCCATTACGACTACTTACGTTTACGGCAGCAGTTTGGGAATGGAAGATGTGCAAAATATTGTTTTTGTGCGAATCTACTGAGTCGATGAGGCTACGGTGAGGTCGCCTTTATTTTTGAAAGCCAACATGGTGAAGGGCAGAGCCAGCTTGATTGGTGAAAAATCAATGGGCAGGATGGTGACGAGCTCGTTTTTGTGGATTTCTAGTGGAAATGTTTTGGCTAAAGAGGCTCAATTTAGCTGCTACTGGTATGAGATTAATCAAAAACGTGTTATGCTATTTAACAAGAAACAGTGCTGTATTTTTTTGTTTTGTTTTGTTTTGGGGTTTTTTTCCCCATTACGCCATTTTGTACTTTTGCAATTGTGGTTGTCTTGTCTTCCAGATGTGAAAATTATTTGTTTTCCACCGCACTTAAGCACATTGAACAAGCGTATTACAGCAAAAGTGCTTTGTTTCATCCTTTTGAACATTACACATCTGGCTGTTATGAAGTTAAATACGAGTCAAAATAGTCTTAGAAATAAACCCAGAAACATTTTTTTCCCATTTGCGATTTCTGTTTAATTCTCTTAATTGCAAGTGTAAGGTGAAAAAAACACGCTTAAAATATTAACTCCATCCTGTGTTTTAAAACAGCAACTTTGTTCTTTTGCACACAGTGTGACGTCGCCTCTGCTCTTTTAGTAAATAATTAAAGCCCGTCCACTAAAGGCTGAACAAAATCCCTGCTCGTGCTTCGGAAATCAGAATCAGAATCAGATGGGTGTTTGCAGATGAAACGGCATCAGAAATCAGCCGCAAACTTAAAATGTATGCAGATCTAAAATCAAGTGCATTCAGTCTGAGTTAGTCGGAACGGAGCGAGACGAACTAAAGTTGAAGATGAAGTCATTTCTGAATAAATTCGATATTATCAACCAAAATTTGGAGCTGTAAAGACGAACTGAGCTGAATTTAGTTTGTTCACAGAACTTAAACTTGTGTTTTATTAATGTTTTGGCACTTATCAATACCCCCGTAGACACAGGCTTACATTGACTGGCCGACAGTGAATCTGTGACATTTCAATGAGCTTGTCGGCATGTTTATTAACCAAAGTTAATAAAAAAATAAATAAACACCACAGAAATCACCTTTTACAAAGCCATTCAAGTCTCCAGCAGACAGCAGAGGCGGTTGTAGACAAATCCAAACCCTCGGGGAGGAGGATCCAACTTAGGAGGACGTATTACCTATGAATGAACTTCCCCCTGGCATTTTCAGCAATGGACTCCCCACAGAGTGGATGAATAATCCGTGAAACGTGAGAACTGTAGGTTCCCAACGGTGCTGGCGGGCAAAGCAAATCCAAACTTGCAGCGAGCGAAGCTTTCCACATGGAAGGGCTTTCACTCCAAAGACAGACTCATATCCCTGAGTGGGTGACACCTCAGCACTGAAGTCAAATTGGTTCAGGCGCCCAGAAAATAAATAAAAAAAGAAAAAAAATGAAATAACTCCACCACAGATCTTAACTTGCGTCTATCATCCTGCTTCTCTCAATGTCACAGCTGAAAGGGAGCTTTTTTATTTTCGTGGTGGCCATGTTTTTGGCGCCAATGTAGTCCACTTCGGTAGACGTTAACTCTCCTCCTCCCCCCGCTCCGCTCCGCTCTCTCGGCCGCTGACGTCTTTATTATTAACTGATCTGCTGCTTTTCTATTTTCAGCCACAGAGCCCAACAGGTATCAGCAGCTGTGGAGTGTCTTTGGCGGATCGGTCCAGGCTCGGATCCTGTGGTGATCGCCGTCCAGAACGTGCACCTGAGGCTCGTTATCTCTCACTCGTGCACATCCACACTTCCACACACACACACATCCACAAAAAGAGCTCAACTCCCTGATGACAGGACACTGACAGTATCAGTCTGGAGCTTTTTAAGTGGCACACACACACACACACACACACACACACACACACAGGAGCCCAATGGCTTTTCGCGACAGCCGCGCACAGAGCTGCTGCTGCTGCTGCTGCTCCCCTGAACGCCCTCCTGTCCTCGGATCCAGGGGTCTCTGACAGACCCAGGACTCTTGGCTTTCAGCCGACTCAGCTCTGCCCTGCGGGTGTACAGGTGATGAGAGAAGGGGAAGAGAGTAAGAGGGGCTCTTGTACTGAAGCTATTATTTTGACGTCTTGGATCTGCTCCATGAACAGAAGAAAAGATTAACGGGTTAAAATTATTCATCCATTTCGCAGTGGATCATGGCTTCTTCTTCTTCTTCAGTGGTTTTGTGTTCCCTCCCCTTTCACCTTTTATTTTCATTACATGCTCTTATCCTAATCTTCCCTCCATCACATCCTTCCTTTGATGTTTCCACCTCTTTCAGTCTCTTCTCTCCGGCTTCCCCTCACCCTTTCCTCTTAAGATCTGGGAAGACTTTTTTTCTTTTATTTTTTTTGGTTGGTTTTGTTTTGTTTAGTGCCGCTGCTGGAGGAAATATCACCGTGGGGTCAGGGATCCCGCGGACTGCCCTCTGCACTTTCAGCAGAGCGCTGGCAGGACCCTTGCTGGAACAAAGCTAGCCCAGCCCGCGCGGACGACAGAGACAAGTGGAGATGCGACAGCCGAACGGCAGCGTGGCACCAAGGACAGATCAAAAAAATAAATAAAAAATTCCCGTTTTCAAAAGAAGCCCATTTGGAAATGCAGGACACGGCACAGCAAAAGCGCTTTTGAGACAATCTCGCATCGACTACTCAGTTTCCAGTTTTAAAATTGTTCTATTTTTCCCTCCATTTTCACTCCCCGATTGGAAAAAAAAAAACAGGAAAAAAAAACAAAGGTTTAATATGCAACAGTTTTTAAGCAAAACGCTGCATATTATCTCCCAATTTTTTGAAGCTTTTTGATGTCAATTCGGTCGTTGTCCAGCTGCAGCTTCTTTGAAAACAGGCATAATTTGATATATATGTATAGGAATTTTATATATATATCATATGTATGTGTTTTCACTGGTGCTCTGCTTGTGGGATGCTCCAAACAGAAGTGTGAGGCGCTCACAGAAGCAATTTTTTTTGTTTGTTTTTTTTTTTGTTTTGCTTTATTCCATCCTCTCTCCCTCTGTCGTCGCTTCCTCGTCGGCGTGTATTCCCCTTAAATCCTTGGTCCGCTCAGAGCGTCTGTGTCCCGTCCGCCGGCGATGCTCGCGCTCCCGCCGCTGCTTCTGCCGTTCCGTGGCAGGACTGGCTGTCAGTATCTCACGCAATCGCTCCGTTTCTCTCCCTCCTCCCCGTTTCCGAGTCACTCCTCCCTCTCTGGCTCACTCCTGCCCTCCCTCATGGTCTCTCTCTCTTGCACCCGCACACATTCAAGCAAGTGCCTTTTGTGCATAAATGAGCACGTCTCTGGCTTGTTGACTCTCCCTTTTCACTCTCTTCCTCTCTCACTCATTATATGTCACAGGCACCTCCTTTTCTCAAATTTTTTTTTCGCTACTTGGTTGCATTAGAGGTGGAAAGAGATCTTGAAATGTTTAAATATTGAAATTTTTTCCATCAAAATGGAAGATTTTTTTTTTTTTTAATGAAACCCTATCTAGTTTAAAGTCTGGTTCTGTTTGAATGCGATGGTTTGAAGTAGAAGAGGAAATGATTACGTTGACGAAGCCTCCACCGTTTTCAGTTTTATCTGGCAGCATTTGGGGAAAACAAGGTGGGGGAAAAAAAGACGACATAGCAGCAAACAGACTGCTACATCCGTCCACTTGCCACTAAGTAACTTTCCCGATTTGATCTGTTTGTGTCAGATTTAGCGGAGTACAAAATAGCATAAAATGTCTCCCACAGAAAATGTTACTGACCATGCATCAAATCAAATCACACCCAACTTTCAGACAGTTCATAGTTAGTTGACTCTTTACAATATCTTCAAAAAGTTAAATACCAGCTCTTCGTCTGTGACGGCGGTGGCCCTGGGTTCATCTGATTGTTTCTGGAGTCAACAAGGGCGCACATGTGGTTATAAACTACCTCTGTTTGTTCCATTGTTACAATTAGTTTATTTATCAAAATGTCTGACCAAAAGGGCCAACTAAGAGAAACAGAAATTTAGTAAACATGTAAAATATGCCGGAAAGTAAGAAAAGCCAAGAAGGTTCCCTCTGTGGGCATGACATAGCTACAGGGTGACCCAGAACCAAGACGAGATACAAGATTGCCTGTAAGCAAGAAGACTTTGACAGGCTAACGGTTAGCCGCTACCAATACAGTTTATCACCTGCCCCTATTGGTTCAATTTTGTCCTCTCTTGTTGAAAATCGAACTTTTCCATTGGTCAAGCCCGAACCTTAAAATTCCACACCTCACACTGAATCTTCAAGATGCTAGTTTTTGGTACAATTCTAGTTAGAGTAATAAAATGAAAATAAAAACAATAAAGATTTAATACATAGACTTGATTTAGAAAGGAAGAAGTCCTGGAGCTCCCTTGTTTTGCTGCAGCGAAATAAAGGCTGCTCTGTATGCCGATCGAAGCTACAAGCTAGCCGTTAGCCGCTAACAACACTGAAGCTAGCTTTGGAGCTTCCCGTCAGCTCTAAACTAAAAGGGTAATTCACACAAAAAAATGATCAGATTCTTAGTTTATCAAACAGATATTAGTAAAATGTTTCATTTCATGGCAGAGAACACAGAATTTAGTATTTTTAGAAGTGCACAAACATTAAAAGAAAAAATAACTATTAAATACATATTCTTTTGAACTCGGATGTGTGAAACATTTATATATTTTGTGAAAAACCCCCACAAACTCAGCACTGCGTATCGTCTTGTTAGCTCGCTGTTCTGCCCCTGCTGTTCAGTGTTTGATTATAGATTCAATCCATGAACCATTTTCTCCTCTCAGCATCTTGTTCGTCTCCTTTTACTTTCCGTTCATCCCACATTCCAGTCCGTTTGTTGCAGTGCGTCTCCATTTCCCCCCC